CGCTGGCGGTTGGCCCGCCGCAGGAAGTGTCCGATTGGCCGAGTCTCAGGAGCCCTGAGTGGAGAGAGTTCCGCTGGCGGCGCTCTGGAGTCGGGACGAGTCACAGCCGTACGACAAAATGGCGGCCCCAGTTGCTGAGGGGCGCGCGGCGGGAATAAGCCGGCCCCTAGGGGTCAGGCGGAAGGCAAGCCTCACACTATGCGGCCGGCGCTGGAGGCGTTCGGGGGTCGGCTACCGTCACTTCCGGCCGCTGGGGGACTGGGTTCCGTACGACAACATGGCCGCGCCTAGGTGCCTGGAGGGGGAAACTGCGACTTCCGGTCCAGAATAGGGCCTGCGGTGGGAGGGGGAAGGAAAGAGGAGGGGACCATGCGAGCTTCTGCTGTCCGCGCTGAGGGTCGCCCCGAGAGGCCGTTTGTGAGGTGCGGGCCGGTCGGTGCGGGGGTCGAAGGCGGAGCCGACCTGGGGTTGGGACCCGAGAGGAGTCGGGGGAACCCGGCGCGGGGCTCGCCATCGGCCGCCGGTCGCAGAGAGAATGGGGAGGATTAGGGTGCGGTGAGAGGGAGGGGACCTGAGGTGAGCGACGTTCGACCCGACTCCCCGGGTTGAGACCCATCCGGGAGGAACTGGGAGACAATTCAGAAAGGGGGGTGTATTGTTGGGAGGGAACCTGCTTTGCCTCGGCGTCTGTGAGTTGGGGTGATCCTTGAGGAGGGGTGAGGGGTGCACTGGCGTGTTGGAGGGCAGAGGGGAACAGGTGAGGCGGGGTGACAGGCTGCGTTCCAGTGTCTGCGCACGGAGGGCGGGGAGATCGATGTGGGGCGCAGTGTGGGAAGTGGCCCGGGGTGGGAGGAAAAGGCAACTTGGCAATTAAGATAAATATTGGGGAAACGCAACTGAAAGACCGGATGTCATCTGAGGGGTGGAGCTGGGGGTGGGGACTTGGGACTCCCTGTGACAGGGCCCCGAACACGGTGTGATCGGTGCTGCGGAGGGCAGGGCTGGGTGTCGCTGGAAGCCGAGAAGATGGGGAGATGTGTGACTTGAAGGGATGGGGCTCGGCTGGGGAGGCTCTTCCTCAGGCCCCGTCCCCTTCCAGCAGGAGTTACCAAGTCCCCAGCACTCGCTCCCTCCGGGGGATCTGATCCTCCATGGCCGCCGATAACAGCATCATTGTGCTGGATGATGATGACGAAGACGAAGCAGCGGTGCAGCCGGGGCCCTCGCACCCACCCCCCAATCCGGCCTCACCCCCGGCTGACGCCCCTGCCTCCTCTCAGCCCCATGGGGCTGGAGGGAACAGTAGTTCAGGCGGCAAGAAATGCTACAAGTTGGAGAATGAGAAGCTTTTTGAAGAGGTGAGCTTTGGGGGGGAAGACTTGTATCCTAGGGAGAGGGGTGCTGCCTGGCTCTCCTGTCCTTTCTTCCTCACTAACACTACCTGCCTTCTTTCTCTCAACCCCTCCCTTGTCTCTCTCCCTCCCTTCTTCCCGGAACCCTCCAGTTCCTTGAACTGTGCAAGGCGCAGACAGAGGACCATCCTGATGTGGTCCCGTTCCTCTGTAAACGGCAGCAGCGTGCCCACGCTCTGTTTTTGGCCTCAGCGGAGTTCTGCAACATCCTCTCTCGGGTGCTGTCTCGGGCCCAGAGCCGACCGGCTAAGCTCTACGTGTACATCAATGAGCTCTGCACTGTTCTCAAGGCTCACTCGGCCAAGAAAAAAATGAACATTGCCCCTGCGGCCACCACCTCTAGTGAGCCCTCTGGGAGTAACCCTCCTGCAGACCCCTCCTCAGACCCCACAAATGCCGAGACCACCGGCTCTGAGGCCCCAAGGACCCGTGGCTCCCGGCGGCAGATCCAGCGCTTGGAGCAACTGTTAGCGCTCTATGTGGCAGAGATTCGACGGCTGCAGGAAAAGGAGTTGGATCTCCAAGAATTGGATGACCCAGACTCCACATACCTGCAGGAGGCAAGGCTGAAGCGGAAGCTGATCCGTCTCTTTGGGCGGCTGTGTGAGCTGAAAGACTGCTCTTCACTGACAGGCCGAGTCATAGAGCAGCGCATTCCCTACCGTGGCACCCGCTACCCAGAGGTTAACAGGCGCATTGAGCGGCTCATCAACAAGCCAGGACCTGATACCTTCCCTGACTATGGAGATGTGCTGCGGGCCGTGGAGAAGGCAGCTGTTCGGCACAGCCTTGGCCTCCCCCGACAGCAGCTCCAGCTCATGGCTCAAGATGCCTTTCGAGATGTGGGCATCAGATTACAGGAGCGACGCCACCTTGATCTCATCTACAACTTTGGCTGTCATCTCACAGATGATTATAGGCCAGGTAGGGATTAGTGAGATGCCCATCAGTGACCCTTAGATGTCAGGTGTGTGGTAGAGGGGGCATCTCTCTAGTCCCTTCTATTGGGTTTGGGCTGAGTACTCTGACTTTTTATCTTCCCACACAGGCATTGACCCTGCCCTGTCAGACCCTGCCCTGGCCCGGCGCCTTAGGGAAAACCGGAGCTTGGCTATGAGCCGACTGGATGAAGTCATCTCCAAATATGCGATGATGCAAGACAAGAGTGAGGAGGGCGAGAGACAGAAGAGAAAAGCCCGGCTCCCCCAAGCCACCTCTTCCCATTCTCCAGATCCCCCCAAAGCCTCCTTGGATTCTGGTGAGGTGTGGAAGGGATATACCCTTTAGAGAAATCTTGTTCTTTCCCTGCTCTGGCCAGCAGGAGTCTAGGGTGACTGATGGGGGAGTTTGCAGAAGGAACATAGACCCAGACCCTCTGAGGCAAGGGATTTCTTTTTTTTTGTTGTTAGTCCTCATCTGAGGATTTTTAAAAAAAGATATTTTTATTGATTTCAGAAAGGGAAGGGAACCAGGTTTGCTAAAGTAATTGTGGTGATAGAAATGTATTAGCCTCAGAAGCTACTAAGGTGGTTCATTCTATCCTACTACAGTGTAAAAAAAAAAAAAGAGCCGAAACCGGTTTGGCTCAGTGGATAGAGCGTCGACCTGAGGACTGAAGGGTCCCAGGTTCAATTCCGGTCAAGGGCATGTACCTGGGTTGCGGTCACATCCCCAGTGGGAGATGTGGAGGAGGCGGCTGATCGATGCTTCTCTCTCATCGATGTTTCTAACTCTCTGTCCCTCTCCCTTCCTCTCTGTAAAAAATCAATAAAATATATTAAAAAAAAAAAAAGGAAGGGAGAGGGAGAGAGATAAAAACATCAATGATAGAAACATTGATCAGCTGCCTCCTGCATGCCCCCCACTGGGGATCCAGCCTGCAACCTGGTATGTGCCCTGACTGGGAGTCAAACCATGATCTCCTGGTTCATAGGTTGATGTTCCGCCACTGAGCCACACTGGCTGGGCTGAGGATATTTTTTTCATTGCTCTTCAGAGAGAGTAGAGGGGAGGAAAGGAGGGAGAGAAAGAGAAAGTGATGTGAGAGAGACACATCCACTGGTTGCCTACCACACACCCCTACTGGGGGAAAGGG